GTATACTATCACGCCTCTGCCAACGCCCAACTCATCTGACCCGATTCAGCCCTAAGAGATAAAAGACTACGTTTGCGATTCTCACCTGAGTTCAGCCAAGAAGACGACAGGGATGAAATTATCGTTCGCCCAGGGCCACAGCATGGCCGAAAGCATTCAATGGAGTACGGTCAAATAAGGGAACGTGAATGGAGACTGCTGTAGGGGGCAGAGAGGCGGCGGTCGTCTTTCTGTTGGGCGAATATCTTCGACCTATCGAAAGGAATTAGATGACGAAAGTGCAATATAATATATGGATCGCGAGCAACTCCGAGTGCTTAAGTTGTTACGATGGCTGATTGTAAAACTGTGAGGCAGTGAATTAACCAGAAAGAACCAAGATTTCGACCTTTCTCAGAGTGGCTGATGAGTCCTGCCTGAACTCAAATACAGCAAGAATCAAAGTCGTGATGAAAAAAAGAAATCTTCATAGACCCGCGGGGCTAAGAGTTCTCGTGGATGACTTCGTGGGAAGCGCACTGCAAAAGCTGTCTAATAGATGAAGGAGCTGCAGCGTCTTGGTTCAAGGATAGCAAGCTGCGGCGTAGCGGGCGTTAACTAATACGGAATTACGTTCACATTGCGTGTACGTATACACCCGGCTTTTGTGGGCGGAGCAAGGAGGACCACAGTACCGGTACATGCAAAATCGAGGTCGGCAGTTCAAAGCCCGAAAACCCCGGAGGCCTACAGAGAAGGATACACCGATCCTTTCATTGGACCATTGGCGGGCAACTTGCCGTCCCCAATTTCAGTCAGAGCGACCGAAAGCGCCAGTGGAGACTCACTGCCCATGCCAGCTGGAGCGAAGAAGCAGCCTGAAGATGCAGTTAACAACATCCGTAAGCGCAGAAAAATGAGCAAGGTTGGTGTCGACTCTCCTTCAGGTCCTCTGTTTGGACTCGGATATTAGCACACAATCCCGTCCCACAGATCCCCATCGCTTTCGGTTTTTGTCCAAGCCGGGTCCCGAGCTCCCCTGCCCAACACCAGTACCGCGCTGTATGCTCACCTGTCTTTTCTGGTCTTCTACAGATTGCTCGCTGCCTCCGAAACCGACTCGCTTTTACTCAGTTCAAGACCCTACATGGTTTGAAAGAGGCTGCCTTTGACTCGAGCGAAGTGATGGTCAAGGAAATGGAACGACGACACGTCGTCGACCGCTACAAAGTCTCGAAGCTACGGGCCCTAGATGAATCATATCGCTGCGATGAGCCACAGCTTTGGTTTGAAGCACGACCGTCCTGTGATTTGCATCACTTCAATGAATCACCTCCCTCCGTGAACCCCCCAAGCGAAGTTGCTCCCCAACTGGCTCACTCACCGGAGGCCTCCTGGCAAAACCATTTTACGAACCCTACTGGCCCTGATGTCTGTCTCCTCCAGTTGCGCTGGCTGCCTCCCATGCCCATGAAAACCGACCAAGGAGACTAAGGACCGACTACTCGACAAGACAACACCAACGTCGTTCAGTTGTCTGAGCACACCTAGTAGCTACAAAGTGTCTAAGTGAAATGAAAACCCAACGCCTGTGCAGCGCATGCAAAAACATCAACCAGCCCGAAGTTAGCTCTGACAGAGAAAATTCTTTGAGTCTCCACCCCCTTCTTTGTTCCTGCCGAGCTGGGCAAGCACTATGTATAGTACCCTGTCAATTAGTCAATTCAGCGATGGTCGATTACCTTCTTTCCCAAACTCTGCTGAGCAGGCTCTCATCTGGTGTGGTGAAGACAGCAGGCCAAAATGCTATGTGCCATGTTGAGGACCCGGGTCAGGAAGAAGTGTACTCGTGGGCGGCGAATGAGTTTGATCGGAGAGGCTGTGGAAGCTGAGTGTTGTACTTCAGCTTCCCTGGCCCGTCCAGAGGCACGGAGCATCTCAGAGGCTGGTATGGTGCAACTTCCTTTGGGTCACTCGAACGCGGGTTACACGCCACTTACGGATGGCTGTGTGGAAATCGGATGAGAATGCTACATCCAATCATTTCTTCAGCCGGCGAAGAGGGCCTTCGTTCGTGACCGTGTTGCAGCATTTAGCCAAGTTGGTTTGGAGTTTATTGGGCCCGACCATGGCCTCTGAGGCTATTTAGGAACGCCTGCGCAATGTTCCGTTCATGGCATAGTTGGCCAATATCCGGTCGCGCCAGTGGACAGGTCCAGCCTCGTCAAAATTGTAGATGTGTGACACTGGGATGCCATATTTGGCCATTGTGTTCTGCACGAGGGCAAGCCAGCTACAAATGACCTCTGCATCTTAGCATTTGACTCTTTTACAATCATATCTCCTAGAAGAACGCGTCTTGGCTCTGGTTGTCACTTGAACAAGTTGGAGGCCCGGCGCTTGCCGACGGGCGGTGCGTCGCGTTCGGCGAGAAGTTTATTAGCCATATATTCCACACCGCGCAAGCCGGGGACGGAATGCTCGCGAATCCAGGTCGAGGGCGTAATGGACAATTGCCGATTCCTCCAGCTCAGTTAAGTTTTGTGATTTGTGTATGCTATCGCGTCGTGATGGTTTACCAAGTTCGCGGCAATCGAGGGTTGCATGACTGACGTTGTAGATTCTGGCTGCAGCTCGGACGCTAAGTGACTCATCTTATTTGGCAGCCTCAACAGCTAGGATTAATTGAACCTCTTTATTATATGAGGTCATGTTTGTGGTTGGAGGAAAATGCGCTTGAATATTGAATTTTGGAGCATTGGAACCACGGAGATCTCGTAGTCTGAACGCATCGAGTCTTGCAAGGCTGATTTTCGGCGTTCGAACGTCTTTTTTGGTTGCGATATGATGATTGAGAACCATTAACGAACTCTTCATCGGTTTGAGGGCTGTCAGATGGCGCGATGTCCGGCAATCGGCTCATTAGGCCGAACATCTGGGCCTAAGACAACGTTAGAGACAATAGAGATAGTAACATCATGTGCTTGCCCGATGCTTCTGTAGACATACTTCCACATCCTTTCGCGTAATGAGTTCGAAGCAGACATCGCATTGGAAAGCCTCCAGAGTCATGTTGTAGAGGCGCTAAAGAATGGAAGTTTGAAGGCTTGATCGACACGTTTGCTTTTACCCCGCCAATGCAGTGTTAGCTTTGAATCCTGACGGTGAAACCCATTACGCAATCGCAGACAACGCGCTAAAAAAATCCGCTTTGTCGAAGAACCCAGTGTGGACACGAATGAACTTTGACAAGTACGGATACCTTGATCACCATGCCGTGGACGATCTGCGTCGTAGACAATGGCCCTTTCTTTGGAGAGCAAGTTCCATGCATTGGGTATAAAATATGTCAGGACCCGATGATGGCGGCCAGGCGGAAATGTCAAGATGAGTCGCAATGATCGCAACGATTGGGCAACATTGGAGCCCTGCGGACACAGCGACATTGTTGCTTGCGGGACATGTGGATGGTGTCCATGTGAAAGGCCCGTTTTCAAATTTTGTGCACGGCTGCCTAAACTCATGAGTCATCCCATCCCGCACGCGGCCCGGCCCGGTGGTAGGGATTCGGCCGCAATGCGCCCCCTATTGAAAGGTTAGGACTGGGAGGCTGATGGTTAGGACGAATTGAAGAAGTGGACAATAATATGGCCTCCGAAGACGTGTTCGCCTGCGGGAGTTGAGTTGACCATGTGTCAGTGTCTTTTCCCAGGTAATTAGGTGAGCCTGCTGCAGCATCGTCTCAACTGGTGGGAGAAACTCACTCTGATAGTTACTGTTTGCATCCTTCACCCACGCCGTGTCGTGCGGTTGCAAGGCTCCGACCTCCCAGTTCGATCACGACAGGGACTCCACCTGTTGTTTTTGATACCTTCCCGTTGGTCTTTACCATTTCCGAGAGTGTGGGGTAATTACTCGTAATTCTTCCCATAGAGTGCGCGCATTCAATTGCTGTCACTAGATTGTCTGTGGCAGACATAGATTTTCTTCAGTGATACTGTCGCCTTGCCATCTTTGCGCTCGTCCAGTCTAGACACGCCCTGATCATCAGCGGACTCTCCCCTAGCTGACAGCGAGCCGGCCGAGAGATCTCAGGGCCAAGGGCCCTTGGTGTCAACTTTAAGGTGGCAGCTCTCGCACCTGGGAATGTCGCTGTAGCCATAGTCGAGATTCATGTTGGCGCAGCCGCAGCATATTTCGCCCTTCTTGCGGTTCTTGCCGCACGAAACCGATTCCTTAGAGTCTTGGATAGCCTTGGCCGCGTCGTTATTTAAATACATCGGCGAGTTGACGTTGGAGTCGGAGCGATAGTCCCAGGCTCTGTTTTCGTCCATGGAAGGCTGGTTACCATCACAAGAGCTGTCATCTCTGTTCCTTTGTTGCTAAATGTTAGAGTGTTCCTTGCAGGCGGGCAGAAGGTGTGGGACTTCACTAGAAGGTTGCAATACTTACGCTGTCACTGACAATGCAGGGACGAACGCATTTTTCCTCCTATCCAAAGGCTTGGCTGTTGGACAGAGGTTAGCTAATGATTAACCATCTCTGCCTGCAAGTCGGGACTCTGAGATACTTACTCGTCGTCCATTTCATGGTATGGCATTCCGAGCGCTCTTCCAAGATTCGAGTTAGCACAATGACCTTTCAGTATATTTCAACCAGCCACTCGGATGAAGGGATGGATGAAGGGGCCTACGTGACGGCAGTGCTCACGCACGTCGCAGAAGCAGGGTCTGGGGACGGGAAGAAGCTCCCGTCGTGAACGTTCTGTATCGCATCGACACCTGTTCCAGTAAGCCAATATTCTGTAAAACATGATAGCTTAACAGAGCACGTACATCGATAATGGGAACCTGGAAGAGGCGAAGGTCTCTGAAGAAGCCTAGGTCGACCATGAGACCGAATTTGAAGGAAGTGCTCAGTGCATACCTGCCAACGTCGTCCCTGGAGTTACAAATGCCGTTGCCGTTGTCCATGGAAACCTTGTTGTCGTCACGCTCGGGGTTCTTGGTGTCTAGATTATCCTTTGGGTTAGGCGGGAAGTTTATGTCGAAGTCTCCGAAGTCCGACATTACGCGGGTCCTGAGCTTACCGTCAAAGTAGGGCGCGCTGTGGCTGCTGGCACCCCCATCGGTGTCGTTGAAGGATGCGAGCATGTAGTCAGCTTTCCCGTACCGCTGGAAAGTCATCCAAGTGTTGCCCGATGGGTTCAGTGTGAGCCCCTTGAGTTTGGTGGGCTTGACTTTGGTGTAGGCTTGGTTGCCCTTGTCAGGGTTGTCAAGGTCAGTCTCGCCAACGCCTCCGATGGAAAGGGTCAGATCAGACTCTCCATCTACAGTGAGCCAGCCGTTGGCTTGCGCAACTTTGAACACGTTGTCCATTGAAGCCTGTGTTGTCCCATTAGATTTTATCCATGTTTGCACAAGAGCGAACAGGCCGCCTGTGTCATGGGGCTTGCGACTTACAATCATGGAGAAGCTGCAGATGAAGTTGGCTTTGAATTTACCCTTGACATAGGCTCCAAAGCCAAATTCGTAGTCTTCCCCCTCGAATTCACAATTTTCGACGGTGTCCCAGAAGAGGAGAGTGTCGACTTCCTCGTCAGGTTGTCTTTCGCCTTCGCTCTTGTGCGTCTCGGCATTTTTGTACATGTTTCGCCAATCAGCCCAGCGCTCGGCGAAGAATCGCTTTACGGCCCTGCGGCACAAAGAATTACCTAACTGAATGCCCGGAGAGTCGAAAGCGGCGTTCCAGTCGCCTCCGACGCCGGAGTAGTCGATGCGGAACTTGGTATTTCCAGCATCCCGTCGTCTGTGGTTCAGGTTCATGCCGAAGGTGAAGTCAAAAGCCTTTGGCGTAACAGCTCTGGGCGGGTGGACAGGTGACAAGCTTTGATTTGCAAAGACTTTAGTAAAAGCAGAAGAGGCGGAGGCCGATGGAGAGTGGCCAACCTTCGGATTCTTTCAGGAGATGGCTCGGGCCAAGGAGTTGGGAGCGCACTGTGCAAGTATTTGTCAGCAAGATTGACCAGGAAACGGAGTTCGAGGTGTTCAATTGACATTATCGGGCATCTCAACAATGATGCCCTTGACACCTCGCTCCATGACCCAGAAGCGGCCCTCGACGTCCTTGTTCAGACACACAACTCTGGTTGTCTGGGTCTCGTGCTTGGGCTAGTCAAGCACGTTCGGAAGGCAGTCAAGGAAGACCAGGGGCTCAGGCTCGTCCTCGCGCTTCTTGAGCGACAAAACCGCGTGCGAGTCGCCGGTGCCGAGGACCCTGGTTGGGATCGATCTCACTGACTTTGGCAATGCTGCCAAAGTGGATGAGAGCATAGTTGGTCTCCACACCCTCAGGGGCGAGCATTTCAGCGGGGAGGAACCCTTCGAGCTCGACCAGCGAGAGAGGAGCTCTGGTGTCTCCATTATGCTCGCCCTTGGGTATAGCCCTCAGAGCTTCGAGATTGCGGGTGTCGAGATCGATAGCCGAGATCATCGGACCATGGAGGCCCATTTTGCTCGCATAATCGATTTTCATTTGGAATGTCTTAGCATCATCGAAGCTAGAGATAGAAATTTAGCAAAGACGATGCATCTGTTTCGCCCATTCTTGAACTCATGAGATCCAGCTGTGGCCGTCGTAGACCACGTACGGTATCGGGCAGCGGCAGCCTCGTCAAAATACCGGTAGGGAGTTCCGCCGGTTTTGTCCAGTATTTCCAAGGTCTCTATTGGCCAGAACGTGGTAAGAGATACGGTTCCTTTTGTCAATTGGAGTGGTTCCATGCTTGCGTACCGGCATATGAGAGAATTTCAGCCTTGTTAGAGCAGCGACCGGGTTAGCCAGGGCCCTTGAAGCCACAGCCGGCCTTCCACCATGAAGATTCGAGCTCAAAGGATCAGCCATAGAAGCCCAAGCCGAGTAGGATGCTGCAAGGCTCAACGCCACCGCGCCAGAACTGCAAGGGGTTCGTGTGTCAGTCAAAGGTGCCAGATAGATGTCAAGTGTTCCAGTGACAGTACCAGGTCTAAGGCGTAGTCGATTTCGGTCAGGTTGGTATGCGACAATACCTAGTTTTTGATATGGTTGTCCCTGTCTCAGACGCCGTGCAAGTCGTAGGACATGAGGCTAATCCAATCGACATGGGCCTCGATGCCCTTGAAATCGAAATGGCGAAGATACCAGTATGAAGAGGGCGCAGTAAAGGTGACCAACGTAGTCGCGGCCGCTCGCCTTAATGGCCTCCCGCAGCTCTTTAATGACAGCCACGTAGTTCTTACCATACCCGTTTTAGCCGCCGCGGTCGTCAGCGCTGGGACATTCCAGTCTGTGACAATGTCAGTAATCTTTCTGCACGAGATACTCGTAGGCTTAATTCGATCTCCGGAGACGCCACTCTTTTTGCGCACGGCTAGAGTGAAAAGACCTGAGACAAGACCGCCAGGGTCAGGATATGAGCAGCCCGAAAACGCAACACTCGCCGAAATCTGGGAAGAACAATCAATTAGCATCAGATCCGAATCCACTATGGCATAATAATATATGAGACTTACCGACACCGTCGTAACCATACTAGGAAAGAAATCCCAAAAGGTTGCTGATCAAGGTGGCCCTATTCTCCTTGGAGGCGACAGAAGGGGAGATATCTTGCCAATGGCCGGAGTCGCTGAAGGTCCAACCACCGAGGGCAATGACAGTCTTGAGATCCGGGTTCCTGGCCTTAGCTTTCGATGGTCTTGTAAATGTTAGGGTCGATAGCTGATGATGATCAGGGGTTGGAAGTGACGGAAAACCCAGGCGGACAAACTTTTCTCTCATATCCGTACTTTCTTATAGACCACTGTAGGCATCTTGATCACTTTCGCGTCCCGCCCGAACAAGTAGGGGCTTACCCGAGAGTGCGTAGGCTTGCTAACCTCGCTGTCTCATTTCTATGTCCACCAACAGCGGCCTGATAATCCTCGATTGACGCCCTACTCCCACTCTTAGAAACCTCGCCAGCTGATTTGGAGGTTACCTTGCATTTCTAGCGAGCTCGCCACGCGGCTTTGATCGACTCCCTGATCCCCAGGTGAGGGATTGCTCAATAAAAACTGCATCGGCCATGCCAAAGGAATCGTCCCTGAATGATCTTTCTTTGTCCCACCGGGCATAGCATGCTAGAACCAATGCAAGTCTGTCGGCTTCTCAAAGCTCAGTCGTATCTACTTACCGTCAATTGTTTCGATACTAACATAAATATCCAGCGGGTACTCAACCTGGTTCGCACGAGCACTGCAAGATTTAGATAGCCCTTTGCTTACGATTAGCATGCATGCCGTGTCCTTTCCTCGAAAATTCATTCTGCAGCTTCTGTCAGCCAAGGGACTTGGACTATCAGAGTGACGATCTACGTGATTGCCGGCAATAGCCCTACAATCATCTGCGGGTACTGAGTCATCAGCACGCAGAAATATCGAACTGACTACGATTCCAGCGTGGGCAAGTCCAAAATCGAGCCCCGGACGGTAATCTCGCAAGCTACTAAAAGTTATTAGAATCGTGCTTTCCCATCGACTGATCGCCGCGTGATGGAGGGAGACCCTCTTTGTCGCTGCGTAAGCACGTAAGCGTTTCGAAAGGTGATGCAGAAGATAAATGCCATCATTACCGGGTCGTGGGTTCTCACTGCCTTTCTAGACGAGAAGAGGAGTTCGGGCGATCAACCCCGCGTTACTAGCCCTTCGCCCTTCCCGAAGGATTCAATCGGTTACAAATTCTGTCCTACAAGCATGCCGATTAGTTATCTCTCGTTTCCGTCTTTGAGGAGATTACAAGTTGCGCGCCTCCTCGGAGGGCCTGCGGCTTTGCAGTCAGAGTGCAGACGATCTCTTCCTCGAGCCTTGTGACAAGGAATTGCTCGAGAAGAATGGCATATCATCTGGAAGCCTAGGTCAGCGCTGCCGCCAAGTCAACTTTGTCAAGTAAGTCAAGTTGGCCCCCCCAACTTATTTGAACTTGACTTACTTGGTTCAACTTGGCAAATCGACCAAGTGTGGCAGTAAGAGTCGCTTTCTGACCCGAATTGGCTCTATTTGATCATCATCCGAGCTCGCCGCTATCCTCGCGGTATTCTTTCCCAATGGGATGCGCGAGGAGATTGCAAAACCGTATGCCGCGAGTCCGGCTTCAATCTTGAGGCATTGTAAGGACTCGAGGGTCCCCGGATGCATTGACTGACACTGTGACGTTATCAAGAGCTTCGAGAGACTAAAGACCCTCTCACAGTCAGCAGCCATCGCTGGTATAGCTAAGATATCTAGCGTAAGCTGTGACGGTGCCGGATATTCGCTCTTCTTCTTACACCACCGCCCAATGGGTTCATCCGTAGCCTCAAGCTTTGCCTTGTAGTACCTGTCAAGCTCTTCGAGTAAGGTATCAGGCTGCTAATGATGCTGTAGCATCCGGCGCCTCCGAGCATCTAGCCAACCCTTCCAATGACTCCTCTCGTGCTTAAGGCCTCGTGGGGCAGAGTGGTTCGGTTGCTCGCTACGGTCGGCATGATCAGAGGTATACCAACGCTCGAAGTGGTCTGAGGTCCCTCTTGGCATCGCGAATTCATTCGAGTTGGAAATCTGCATTCCACAGACCTTCGAGATACGTCATCGAGTACTCGGGATGTAGGATAATAGAGGCCGCAAATAAGGGCGAGTCAGCGAGCTTAGGGTAGTAGATATTGAGCTTAGACCAGGCGCATTGGATCGAGGCAGCGATATAGCGGCCCTCGGCGGCAGCGATGCCAACTCTTTTACTTACATCACGGGCGAAGGGGTGGGTGTATTTATCTCGCATAGAGGTAGGTAGGTTGCGTAGGGCATCTTCGTTTAATTGTGACTGTTGAGACTGTTGAAGGCGGCGCCTAGGGCAAGGGATGTTAACTTCGTAACCCTCGAGCTGAGTGGGTAAGTTGCTAGACCGGACTGGGTGCCCTCCGTGCCTGTTGGCGGGCGACGATGGGCTCTGAATAGTATCATCGCCAGTATCCTGTTCTGCGTGGCCTTGTGCTTGCGAATTGACCACAGTTTCGGCTTTAATTAGGTCATAATGCTGCTTCCAGGCTTTGATATCGAGAATGTATTCCATCTGTCAGAACCTGCTAAAGCATGCCGAATTTACGGCTTTGCCCATTGCCTTGTGTCTGCATCGTCAATCCGTATAGGGGCTCGAGGATATGTATCAACTCACTCAGAAGCTTCCGGTGGTCAGGTTCAAGATGATAATCGTGAGGAAAGGTTGCTACCCTCGTGTGCCTCTTGAGCTAGGAAACCGACGATGTCACGCTGGTTCCGTATGGCTCACTCAATCATCAGGTAGGTCGAATTCCACCTAGTCTCGTTGTTGTTGATGACTTCAAGGTCGGTAGTAGAGGCTCCAAAGTTGAATTCGGCTTCAAGTTAGTTACAATATCCATCAATGCCTCCGACCGCTACAGCGATGCCCAGATGTATTTGACCATGTTATGGAGCTTTGCGATAGGGCTATTCTTGCGCCGTTACTAGAAGTCAGTTTCAGCATCGCCCACCTTAACTTCATCATCGAAGGCATCAACCACGAAGCCTGAGAGGGAGGCTTTGGCGATGAAGGTGAAGATGTGGCCAAAACAGCGTACCCGGTGGGCCTTGACTTCATCCACATCTGTTAGTAGGCCTATCACTTTGAAGAGAACCTCCAGGGTTGTATCGTTGTTCGCTGCAGTATCCGATATAATGATAGCGCGCTCCATATTGATCCCCCACTCATAGATGACCCTCTTGAGCATGTTGGCTATGTTCTCGTCGCTGTGGGCGCCTGATTGACGTCGAAGGGAAAGAGGGCGATTTCGCTGCTGTTGATTCTTGTTAACGTAGTGTCTGAATATAGTAATTAGTCTTCGCGTGCCGGTTAGGAGAGGTCTAAAGGTCGAAGGAGAGGTAGACTATTACAAAGACATCCCGTAAGTCAGCCTGGAGCTATATTTTCTTTTCCTTCCCGAAGAGCTTTGACAGTTCCTCGCGGAAAGATGTCCGCCCAAGGGCCAATTGGCCCGCCAGGCTCGAAACGGACAGATTGATCAGCTCCTTCATGTATTTATTCGAGAAAGTTGAGAAACGCTGGTCGGCGTCGATGATGTACGCCAGGCCATAGTCCTTTGGCACGTGCAGCCATCGCTTTCGTCATGGGCTCGAGCGAGGGGCGCTTCGAGGCGGCCACTTGAAGGTCGAAGATGGAATCGTGGTCATCGGCGGCATTGAGGGTCACTGGGGCCGTAGAGTCACCTGGAAGGATCCTATGCTTATTGAGACCGTCAGTAAGATCGGAGAGGGAGGAAGGATATATACTCTCTAAGATGTGCTAAAGCGGAGGTCGAGGCTTGATGTTGGAACGGCACAGGGCTCCCCATCTTGTCACAGGCTCGACAGTGCGGCTTGGTGGTGCCATCGGGGTTTAATTCGAGTAAGAAGACCCCGTAGTCCTTAATCCAAGTCGTCCGTAGCTGCCCTCCCTTCTTGTGGCCTAATCTTCTAGTATGTATGACCAGCCCTTTACATTGGGGCGCGGGAGCGATTGCATGTCGTCGGTTGCGGGTAGGCCTCAATTGATAGCTCGTCGAGCTGCTGGGTCACAGTCTTGCGTGCCTGCGCTTGGCGGCGAAAGGAGGGCGAAGGCGGACGGCGTAGGGGTGCTCTCTAGAGTGCTCTAAGGCGTCCCGAAGGGCGAGGGGGTCCCGGCCTTCGTTGATGACACGCTAGATGAAGCGTCAGAGTGCGAATAGCATCAATTGGGGCGGAAGTGACCGTGGCAGAGGTAGTAGTAGTAGGATGTTATTGAAGGATGTAAGGACGAAGGAGCCCATGGCTGAAAGCGCGATATCCGTAGAATTTTGTGATGTGTTGACTCGGACAGCGCCTGGGCGACGGGCCGGCTCGTGTAATCGAAACTAAAACACCAAAAAATGACGATCATGACGTAAAAGGGCCACTTTTTCGGCCTCATGTTGGATCTACAGTAGAAAATATATCAAAATACAGAAAACATCAGAAATACCTAATGTCTCATATAAGTCAAGTTACTAGAGGGTCCTACTTGACTTACTTGGCTGACTTGACTTGACAGAACCCTCAGCTTGACTTGCTTGAATGTCAGCGAGCCCAATCTTACTCAAGCCAACTTGGCTTGACGGCATCGCTGGCTCAGGTCGCCTGGAGCTCGTGTCGATCCGACGAGCGTGCTACATGACATGGAGGCGAGCTGTTTGCGGTTCCCCAGAGCTAGCTCTACGACGCAAGTACATGATCCTGTCACTGCCTAACGGTACCGTCCTTGAGAGTGTCTTGAAATACGAGGCCGATCGGCTTCACAGATCCGGCTATGTACCTGCATTCGAGGTTCCCGCCGAGGTGATCGAACGGAGACGGTCTGGTGATGAGTTTTGCCACCTAGTAGTGTTGGAAGACTCACAGGAAGACGGACAAGTCTGGAACAGCATCTCTGATACAAACTGGGGCTTTTCATTTAAGAAGATACTGCCACAACAATAAATTTGAACCTTCCCTATTCGGGGGGTTTGGGGGAACTTGGTGCGTCTACTTACTTTGTGGTTTTGCATCTGGATGGTCGGGCCATTAAGGTCGCAGGAAGTTAATGAGGGAAGTCAGCCGCCGCGTCGTTAGAGATACTAGGACTTGGTGAAACATCCTTCAGTTTTCTTGTCTTCTTGACGTGCGTAACGAGATCATGGATCCTGGATTGCCTTCCAACCAGTCTATTTCTCCCGAATTATGGCATTTGACCGCGTCGGGAGACAGGAGTGTCCTCTTGGTTACATCACCTCCTTTCGCTTTCGCAAACGGTGGTAATGAAAGCTGCGACCCCGTAGGAGAGGGCTGAGAGAGTGGTTTCCCTTCCAACGAGGAGAGGGGAGAAGCAAAGTAAAATAATAAAGAAAATTAAATAAGTAAATGAATAAAAAAAATACGGGATATGCAAAGCCGTCTAGTAAGTAGGTCAAAAGACTAACAGAATTAGATCCCTCCTAAGTAGAAGTAGGATTTTCCAAAACTCGTATCGCTTGATCCAAACCCTTGGCTGGCGAAAGCGAAAGAATACAAGGCGCATACTTCTCGAAGGCAAAGCAAGTCATTCTCTCACTCTCCTCCCCAACCGCGCCAAGGGGTAAGAACAAAAACCTATCCGTCTCGTCAGTGAGCGAGCTGGGCTCGTTGTCTAGCCTCAGTGACCAGGAGGAACTGAGTGAGGAGTGTGTACTCCTGAGAAGCCAAAGGCTTCTGACGCTCCTACCCTTGACTACAAGGGAATCAAGGTAAGACTTCGCTTGTTGTTGATTATCATGCTTCCTCAATCAGCTAGCCAAACTCGGGAGAAGTCATTTGACATACCGTCAATTCGGAATCACGAGGAATCCACATTCATCCTTGGATACACTCTGAGTAGAGGCAGCGAATGTTAGGGGCTGGCCCGAGTAGGCATATATAGTCAAATCGCCAGTCATTTTAGGACACTTGACAATGAGGTGAAAAGCTGGACTAGGTATCTTCTTGTGTGACGGTGTAAATTGGACTTCGGCAGACCCTGTATCCTCTTTTGAGACGGCGGACTAAAACGGCCCTCGGCCTACTTGTCTAAAGCAGCCGCCGTGCTGAGACTGCGATTGGCGACCACCCAATCCGTTCGCCCCAATAAACCTTCCATTTTTTCTCTCTGTTCGCTGGAAAAACCGTCTATTCTGGCCGTCGTAGGTTGCATCACTAGTCACATGACAGACACACCACCTCGTCATTGGCGGCAATAGTGAAACCGCTTGAGGAGTGTCATTTGGACACAGGAGACCGGTCCCTGCGGGCCCGCCAATGCCTTTCGGAACGAGCCTTCGGATCCTCTGTGGCTCTTCGATCACGGCTCGGTATATGGATTGAGAGTATTATACGGCGTTAGGTGGTAGGTGAGTAAAGGACGAAGGTTTCGTTTCCGCATCACTGTGGCTTACCGCCCAGAACCTTATCTGCCGTGTGACGTAGGATAGGTAGGTAGGTTTTTATTCGCTCGGGGGGACATACCCCAGAGGGCCTTTGCACTAAGCTGTTTCCGTTTCGTACAGAGCTTCCATAATCAGTGTGACGTAGGGATTCGATACCATGGGAACTTCAAGAAAGAACTTGACTCATCAATTCTCCTAACAAACTTGAAAAGCTTCCGAAATAGCAAATTTATATGATATAATTATCTTTATTTCTTTGAGCGCCTCATCTTCCTCAGGTTGTAGTACTGAGCCACTCTCCATGGCGCCAATCGATTACTCCAAATGGGACAACATAGACACCGATTCCGAGCCCCAAACGCCCACTGAGCAGGTGTCTCCGGTCGAAGCAAACCCACCCGCTCCAGCCACCTCACAGTCGACTGCACCGGCATCGACGGCAGCACACAGCGCGTCAGGGTCCATCCAAGCTGTCATCGTCCGGTGCGACGTTGAGAGAGTGGAATTCGCGCCTTGGTCTGCTACGACGATCCAGGCAGATCATCCCGTCTTCTCGCAGCCCGTGCCTCCCGTCCCAGGACTCATCGGGGTCCCGCTGGTCCTCCACCGTGTAGGCACTCGGTCCGCAAACCGGGCCGACCTTGACAATCAGATCGCCACGTATCTCAATATCGACACCGAGTCCGGGTTTGCGCCTACGGAGTGGCGGTCATATGTCGGCACCGTGGTGGTCGCGCGCAAGGACATGAAGCCGTTGCTGCCGCACCATCTTGAGGGTGTGTGGATGTACTGTGACCACATTCTGGACCTCTTCGGAGAGGGGGAAGGCGCGCCGAGAAGTCTGTACAATAGACAGGCCTTCGAAGAGTGGTGGAAAGATTATTGTGAGGAACAGAAGGAGTTCCGGCCGGGGAACGGAGGCGAGAAGGATCCTGATGATTGGCGGGCGGTGAGGTCGCCTTATGAGTTGTAGGGGTCGTAATTTGCCCTAGGCGTGTGTCCTGAATAACAGAAACGTTGTGTCTCGCCGTCGGGCGATCTTTTGGGTGGTATCTCACTCTGTCCTACGCATTCCTTTGCTGACTTTCAAATATCCGTCTCGTTTCTGCTGCTAGATCTGTCAACCTCTGCATGCCATCAACTATACTCTGGTCCAGCTTATTCCCGATGAAATCCTGGTGTCGTACGGGACTGAGAAGCTTGATGCCTTGTAGTGTCCTACACCTGGACAGCTGCACATAGAGACTAGTAAAGTCGCATTTAGAAGGTTGGCCATTGGTCATACGATTTCCTCGCAGCTCCAAGAGCACCTCCACAAACGTCTTGCTTTGGGCTTTATAGTCAGTGAGGACAAAGGCCGGGACAACCGGCAATCCCCGGCGAGTGCATTTCCCCGATAGGAACCTGAAGTGGGAGTTGGCTGGATTGAGGGTGTGTGAGACAGGTCGGATGAGCACTGTCCCCGTTGGGAGGGCTGGGACGACTAAATCCTTTGTCTCTCGCGACTGCAATAATATGCCCAGTGGCGGGCCAAAGTGGATGGTGACGTCGTCTGCAAGATGGTAGCCTGGGGATTTCGGATCGGGGATTACGTCCGCGGCGGAAAACTCGGCCCCATTCACAATCTTCAAGCCGGTATATATATTTTTGTTGACAACTACAGGCATCCCCTGGGCATAGAAAAAGATACCAGGGACCTTGCAGTTGGAATCGTCTCCTTGTTCGATAGTCTGGGCGATCTCGTTCTGAGATAGGGTTCCACTCCGCCAGGTGTGGGTCGAGAC